ACTTTAACTCGAGGTAGCCTCTACGATGCTCATTTTTGTTACTTAAATAGAAGATTAACGCAGCAACAATAAAAGGGAAAAGAATAGTACACGAAGACTATTCCAAAGATGACAAATATGGGTTTGAAAACAACAAACAACCATAAACGTAATATTGTCTTAAGATTGTTTTTCTGGGGTGTATATGATAGCGAGAAAAGGTTTTTAATGTGATTAAACGAAAAAAGATTTAACTTGTAGAAGCGTAGTTAAAACACAATATTTCAAGAGGTTAGAAAATTACAGTATAATAACTACAAATGAAAACCAAAACAAAAGAAGAAGTAGGAAATGATAATCCGAGGCAAGTGATGACACTTTCTCCTTAAGACAATATTGCCCCACTACGGTGCTCACGGTTATCGGTACTTGTCTCCCAAGATACAACGGATTTAATTCTTGTGGTAGCAACACTTCAAACTACAAGACAACGACGAACGTGACGGAATTCACTCTCTACAATGAAAATGATTTTGAAATGAATTTGGGAGAGTTTTTGTAAGATATTTTATGAATGCACAATGCACATATGGTACGGGATGCAAAAGGGACGTCCAACGGGTCCTATATATAGAGGATAAAGGGTTGTGAATGAAATGTCGCGCCCCAAGTTCAACAACTCTTGCCAAAGGTCGCACCATTCACTATCGCTAGCCCATCGTCATCGCCTTGCTTGAGCAATAAAAATAGTGACTTTTTTGCTAGCCCGTCGCTCGAGTGACAGCCCAACCATAAGCTAGCAACAGTCTTAGTCAATTTTCCGAATAGTTTCCTCTATTTTCTTCCAAACTTTGGACCACAATTTCTCTTTCATCCGGAATTGATTTTGAGATTCCAAATATACCACGACGATCTACTCGACGAGTAGAACAGTTGATCTATTTACTTTTTTAATTTGAGCATCGGATCAAGTCCGAATATTTGACCGAAATTGACACGAAAGTCACTTTTTTCAAGTTTTGGTATAATCACTTAACCAAATTTCAATCTTTCAAAACAAAATTCCAACATTGGATTGGAAGCATACATATACGTACATTATAAGAACTTGTGTTCATCCTAAAAGAAAACATAGAGTTTCTTTTATGTCTTAGTTCTCGTGTAATTTCTTATTTTATTTCCTTTCATTTTGTAGAAGTATTCATAATTTTATTTTTAGGTCTCAATATGTTTGAGATAAAAAAGATTGAACAATAAAAATGTGATTTGGGCCAGTTTCTATTCTCTCCAATTATGAGTTGGGTCATACGAGGCCCAACTGATAATTTTCTTTTCCACCACGACTTGGAGCTACAATTTGTTTGTACAACTGAGCAACCTTCAACTATTCGAAGTAAAATAAACTTTCGATTTTAACAATCGAGGTAATGTTACAAATACACATGAAGTAGTGTCTACGTTTGCTTTGTGAAACTGTTTCGGAACCGAATATGAAAAAATAGAAGAAAAATCAAAGACAAAATGACCATCTGACAACACATCAATCATGTGTATTACTGTATCTCATTGGCTGAAAATTTTAGATAGGAACTGTAATAACTACAACTACATCCTTAGCCTCTGGTGTGAAGGATTTGGATGTGAAGATATCATCTTGTTCTCATCTTTGCGCATTTTAGTAATGAAACTAAAAAAATACATATTTGTTATGCAGTTTCTATCATTTAATGACAATTTTAGTCCTGTATGTCTATTTAATTCTTCTATTTGAGTCCATTATTTGCTAGTCTTTTTTCGAATTTTACTTTTAATTTTAATTGGAATTTTTAGTAATGAAGGTCACTCAATAGAAGTTTTTATCACTTCATTTGGGTATTGGCTTGGGAATATGGATTGGTCACATTCAAAATGGGTGGAGGAGAGGGGCTAGCCCTGAAGGTGGTGGCGGTGGGCAGGTTTGGATATGCAACATTCATTGAGATTTAATGTGGTATTGTGGTGTACATATAAATCAATAGAATTACACTGGTTTATAATTTTTAATTGGCGTATGTTATATCAGTCAACTTGAGGTAGCATATTTATTAATAATGTGTTTTAATTTGGGTGAATTTATAATATAGTTGAATAAAAACGAATTGTAGTGGCAATATGGTTACACTTTAAAAATCTTCAGATAGTATTCTATGGTTGCTCCCGTTTGGCCCTCATTAAATTTATAATACATTTTTCTCTCCTTTCTTTTTAACCACACATTTTTCAATAAAATAATATCACACATAAACCTAAAAATTTTCCCTCTTTTTCAACCAAGCATTCTCCCAAAAAACACCAAAAATTATAACATCAAATAACTTGTATAAAAAGATATGGAGAACTTATAGAAATACTCTTAATTTTGAGGTTCTTTTGAAAAATCATTATAAACATGGATTAAAAAATAAATACTGCAATTTCAACTATAAAATCGCAAGAAATATTGTATAAATAGCATAATCGAAAAAGGTGATTTTTCAGCAGGAAAATCGAAACATATATGCTCCTAACCAAGCAAAATTGAAATCATAAGAGGAAATCTTGTACGAATCAAGTCCAAACAATATTAAGGACTACTTCAGTTACCTTTTATTCAAAGTTTTCTTCTCCAAATGTAAAAATAATCAATCCAAATCTACAAGTTTATAAATTTTCGACTTTTATTCAAGTAGTTCATATTTTGTTTGATTATTGAGGAACAACTTATATATTTTATGATTATTCAGAATAAAGAAAGCAATTATAGGCAAATTTAATTCAAGTGATGAGTGAAAATACATATAAAAATACGAAAATAAGAAAAATGACATGCTCTATCATTTTTTTTTTATATAAAGTTCGTAATCTATCTCATTTTCATTCTTTTGGATCAATTAAACAAATGTATACGTGTGTGCTTATGAAAATTTGAATATGAATATAAACTTTACTTTATATTAAAAAGTGAAATAATGTAACACTCACTTTATTTGACAATTTGCATATGAATCAAGTTGCTATAATTTCAAAGTTACATGCTCTGTCAAATTTTTTAAGAAGATCGCAGACTACATCATTTTAATTCTTTTTATATCAAATAAAGATATGTATACATGCGTGTTTGTGAAAATTTGAATACGAATATGAATTAAAACTTTGTTTTATATTAAAAAGTGACATAATATAAGTCTTTCTTTGTATTTTACATATGAATTAATTTGCTAGCACTTGAAAGTAACATTCTCTGTCACTTTATTTCAGACGATATTTCTCTTATATTTTATTTGGAACTTGAGAGAAGGATAAACATCTTACAAGCATTGTGCGTAGATGTGATGATGGTGTCAAAATGTCATGGAACAGAATTTCTTGATGAAAGATAATGTTTGGAGGCTATCAAATTCGAAGAAAATGATATGATGCAGTTAAAGTTTTGTGAAACTGTAAAATTGTAACTGATAATTCGATGACAACATCAGTTTAAAAACTACCCAGCATCGAAGAAATTACTATTAATGCATATAATAATATATCAAGAGTTGAAGAAATGAAGAATTGTGGAGAAAGTGCTATCATTTCAGTTGTTACTATAGATGGAATTGCATAAGAAAAAGTGTTCAGAAGCATAGACATTGGTTAAGAGAATTATTTCAGCATACACGATATGCAAGAACTTTCAGTTCAAGACAAGTAAATCACATAATAAGGAATATGTACTAAATTGCATAGATGATAATTACAAATCAACTTTTATGGCTTCAAGACTTGGAGGAACAGAAATGTTCAAAGTAAAATATATACAAAAAAATGATTATACTTGTTCAAATAACACCATCTTGGGAGATCATCGTCAAGCAAAAAACTCAATAGTAGGAGAATTCATCAAATACAAGTGTATCTCAACAAAAAACAACATACACTCCCATAGAAATTATAAGTGATGTGAGGAATACATATGGAGTGTTGATGAGTTATGAAAAAGCATGGAGATCTAAGGAGAAATCATTAGAACTGGTGAGAGGAGAACATACAAAATCACATGAAAAGCTCCCAGAATTACATGATAGAACAAATAAATCCTGGAACAGTTACAAGAATTGAGATATATCGTACAACAAATTCAAGTACCTCTTCATGGTATTAGGCGTATCTCTTTAAGGATGGAAATATTGCACTTATTGATGCTACATTTTTAAAAGGCAACTATGGTGACACAATATATCTTCATATTAGTATTTGGAGTTTGTGATTTAGAAACTAATTATTCATGAAAGTGGTTCTTAATTATATTAAAAAAGCTTATGGTAAGCAAGAAGGATTGTGTATAATCTCAAATGGACATGCAATTATAAAAAATTCAATTTACAAGCTGTATAAGAATAAACGCATAGTCTATGTTCCTACGCTTGGTAAAAACTTGAAGACATCTTTTGGTGGGGAAGAAAAATGTGAATAACATTGCAAAACATTTCAATAGAGCAATAAAAGCATTTACGAAGAATGATTTTGAGTTGTATATGAAACAATTTGATGAAATCCATACAGAGATTTGATCACATTTAGTATGTTAAAAAACTATTAAAAAGAGACTAAATTTTCATTGTTATCATTGATATGCAACAATTTTATGAATTTCAAAGTGTATACTAGTGATATCACTTTTTTGAGGTGGTAAGGCATAACACGGTTATCATATGAGTCTTTGATAATTTATGTCACTTTTTGTTAAAAATAGTGACATAATATGTCACTTTTTTTTAGGAACTAGTGTGGATCGTGCGTCGCACGATAACCGTTATAATTTTTGTAATTCCAGAATTGAACAATGGTAAAAATAACATTAAATTATTTCAAGTAATGAATATTCAGACACCTTTAAATTACACCAGTTGAAAATCATTTCTCTGTACAAATCATTACCCTCTCGAGTTCGTTCTCCTACACCAGCGAAGACAGAAAAACCACCTGACAAAAAAAACAAACAATAGCACAAATCAGAGCTTTAATTAAGGCAGGGTTCTATAAGAAATAATGCATAATATCAAAAACCAACCATGAGCTTTTGTAACATTGTTAATCAGTTCCATGATAAGAACAGTCTCTCCTACACCAGCACCACCAAACAACCCAATCTTTCCTCTTTGGTATGGTGCAAGAAGATCGACGACCTTGTGTAACAAATCAACACAGAAAACTGTGACCAACATAAAATGACATGAACCTCCATACCATGATAAATAAAAAGTGATTGCGAATGGAATCCATCAAGTACAGATTGGACCTGCAAGAAAGTACCTTGATACCAGTGACAAGAATTTTGCTGTTAATTGCTTGCTCGAGAAAGGCTGGAGCTTCACGATGAATTGGTAAATAGTGATCGGTTTCTGTAGCACCATTCATTTGTTAGAAAAGACACAAGCCTTTTTCAGTCACTTTAAAGATGTTTTGATCATTGAGAAGCAACAACACTTACTAATATCGCATCTCTCATCAATAGGCTCTCCAATGACATTCATAATGCGGCCAAGGGTTGCTCTACCCACAGGCACCTTTAATCAAATGAAGAGAAACAAAATAACCATCATAAAAAATAAAACTCTTATAGGACATAATAATAAACAGCTGCAGAAATCATAGTAGGGAAAAAACTATACATTTCAGAAAATGCAAAAAACTAAAAATTTTCTAGAATCAACTTCGCCTCTAAGAAATAATAAATGTATAAATAAAAACAAATTAAGAGATGAAAATGGGAGCTAACAAAGTAAAGCACAAACTCATCACACACACTCTTAACTTACGAAATTTGCACGTTTTAAGTTACGAAATTACGGTGGGAGGAACCTATATATAAAATCAGCACCTTCAAGTAAATTACACCACAACAAATTAGGTATAAACAATTGAATAACTTGAATTCAAAGTACTGTAAATGTAAATCAATACTTCCCTCTCGATTTAAAATGATTAGCACCAATAGTAGATGTATTAGGGCTCAGATAAAAAAAACCCGAAATCATGAAGCAACTCCACACAAATTGGACCAAGAATCCCACTTCAAAACCATGAAAGAAACATCCAAGAATCACAAAGAAACTGCAGCGAACGGATTGCCCAAGGAAGGCAGCGAGCAGGGGAGACCACGACCAGATCATCAGACCGTATGGTCTTGCTGGCAAGGTAATCAAGTATGATAGGCTACTTGCAAACATTCCAAAGAAAATACAAATAAACAAAATAAATTAACAGAACATTAATGCAATATTTTAAAGTAAGATTGGGGGGGAAAAAATATATATATAAATAATTCAGTCAGCCTTGTTCGCCACAGCTTCCAAATTTTCTTGTGACATATTGCCAAAAAATCACAGAAATGATGCCAGTGTTAGCTTCTGTTTATGTCATGCAAACAAATATCACAAAGCTTTTTACCTGACCATGTACATGATCCACTGGAATGCCAAAATAGCCCATTGACTGACCGACAAACTATTACGAATTTAAAGACCGAACTGATTATAGACATTCCAAAAAATAGAAGTCTAAAAGAACAAATCTTCGACCCCAAAAAATAGAAACACTTCAGGTAAAATGCATTTACAGTGAGATTGTTGGCCAGAAGATTGAGACTCCAGTAAATATTTTCTAGCTATAATCTAGGCGAGCAGATTGAGATCTGTTTGTTCTCTCAACTTACCTCTACAAAAAAAAAAAACTAAAACAATCTACTTAAAATATAGACGAACTCGTACCCTATCATCTAGCATTTTTTCTTACCCTTGACTTTCTCCCTCTAGCAATCAATTATGCTGGCCTCTCTGAATATGGGGAAATCATCCATAGAAGTGACCCCTCCTGAAAAAACACCCAAATATTCAAACACGTTTATTAATGCTTACATAAAAAAAAATCAATAAGAGTATTCGAAAAACTGAATATACAAAATTACATGGGACTCCTTTCTGCAGAGAGCATCCTCGCTGATGACAATGTAACTGACATTATAAATGTTATTTAAATTGCCACTAAAGGTAATATGTTTCCTTTATTTAGTAATAGGGAAGGTTTTTAACTTGAAGTTGAACAAATAGAATATTGGTTAGGGCATTATTGATATTTGCTTGTCTGGATTTCTAGCGTAATTTATTTAAAAAACTAAGAAATGTGTAGCGGAATTTCATTTTACAATCATGTGGAAGTTTCAACTTTTGCTTTTATCTATTAAGCATTGAGATGTCAAATACTCTTTAAATAATGCTTTACTATTTCAAAATCTAAATAATATATTGCATCCAGCATTTTTCTTCCACTTTCATTTTTTCCCACACTTTCAAAATAATTGCAAGACAGAATCCATGATTTAATGATGCTACAATAAAGTAATATAGAGTGATAAAGAAATAGATACTTACACCCCAGAGAAAGGCAGCATTCCAGAATTGAGAAGGCTTCCATACTACAAACCACACAAACTGGTCATTCAATTGGTCCCATGGACCCGCACCAAGGGACACAATAATCTATCTAATGAGAAAAAGAAACTATTTTATATTAGAAAATCACCCGTAGCACAAACAATGAAGCCAACTCAAATAAAATGGCTATATTTTGTTTTAGTTATCATTTACATTAGTTGGCCAAAGCCTATTCAGCAATCAAAAAGAAGACAAAAGATTCGCAAAACGTACATATTGTTGAGGGGAAAATCAGGATCATCGAATTTCTGGAGATAATTTGTGTAGTGTTTGCAGTTTTCTAACGTTTCTGTGACACAATTAATTACATGAATCCCTAAATTAACATTTAGAAAGCACATATACATAGAAATCAAATACAACTGGAAGAAAACATTAGATACATGCCTTGTCTGCTTTGCAGTGTGCAGCACACTGCTTTGCTTCGGAAGGAGCCTAAAAACATTATCAAGGGAAATTATCGTTAAGAAGGGAATTTCTCATTTCTGAAGGCAAAAAAGTAGTGAAGCATTCTCAAAACAAACAAAAATACAGTAAAGAAATCATCATTATGTTGCTTTGTCTCCTGCAAAACAACAAAACACATCAACACAACCAAAAAGGAGGGAAAAGCAAAGCAATAAATGTGTCACATGCACAAAGCATATTTCATAATACACTCTTTCATTACAAGACAAAATCAAATTTTAAATTTCTATGAATCACACGGAGATCTTAAAACCCAAATAACTTGACTGATTTTGTACACAGCATACTAAATTTTAGCAGAAAAAATTACTATTCAAAATCTAATTTAACTTGATAATATGATGATACGAATGAAATTTCCAGTATTACCAAATTTATGAGATTGATTTTAGTGTGTTATTTTCAATTTAGGGAAAAATATTCAAAATCTAACTTCATGTTCGATAGGTCTATTGATATCAATCGAAATTAGCGTGTATCCAAATTTGACAGCACTCTACATTTGATTTTTAAAGTTATAGTTTCAAATTCATAGGAAATTAGCATTAAGGACAAATTCCTTACTTGCCAGCTATTAGCCTATTATAGAGAATACACATCCGAAGCCTAGTGAATTTCACAAAGAGTGGGCAATTTTAACATGGATGGATTTTTACAGTTTACTAAAAAATTGGTCCACTTACAAGGCATGTATCTTTCAATAAATGAATCCTTAACTACTATTTTCATTAATTATAAAATCTGGTGAACAAATATCAGTTTACAAGTAAGAGTTTGTACCTTGTGACTTCACCAGCTTCGTTGGTGAGCATTTATGTGCCACTTCTTCCAACAACATTCTGCAATTACCAGTCACGATAAAAGAATTTAAGCCATGAAATATATACACGCCCACATTTTCTGGCACCCAATTTGCAATTATCACCATATTATCATATCCACAATACACAGTCTAGCAAACAAAGCCATTAGTAACTCAACACGGTGGCATCCACAGAAGGCTCTCACTGACACCATCTTAATTTTTATTCCAGAAACTTATAGCAATTAAAACAAACAAATTTATCATACAGATCTTCATACTCCTTTTGACAATACATATGAAGCATCTATCTTCAGCAATCGACATGTTTAGAAACTGAAAATAATAGCAGAGCACCCAAATCCTTTTCTGAGTGACAATATCACTTCCAAGTATATGCTCACACAATTATATGTAAAATGGCATACAAATGTATTAAGAAAATGAGTTTACGGACAACGATTTGGTAGGTGCTCATGCTCGCGTCAATGGCTATTTTTCGGCCAAAATAGCTTTCGAATTTCTGCTCCTTCATCGCCTGGGAGCATTGTCTGCCAGTAGCTTCGTTAAACCTTAAACATTCACATAAATTAAAGTTATTGGAGTGGAAAAAAAACAAAAAATAAAACAAAATGTGCGCGCACGGAGACGTGTCTCCGTTTACCTTTCCGCCGGCGGCGACGACGACGGCACCCAACTCAAAGAAAATAATCCTCACAGCCTACACAAAACATTTGCTTAAAGTTGAGTGACCAATTGAGATTTTGCTGAAAGTTTAGAGACCGCGAATGAAATTTACTCTTTCTATGCACACAAAGCACGAAGAGAAAACAGATACAGTTACCTGCAGCTTCGAAGGGCTGTTGATTCTGGTGGATGGTGAAATCATTGGAAAAAAAAAGAAACGGGTAACCACCCTGTAGAAATTCCCGTCTATCTGATTCGCCTCCTCGAGTTGAAAATGGAGGATGCGTGAGATCTTGTAGGAAATATTTCACCGAGGGTTTCGGTTGATAGAGGAAGAGAGTGGGAAGGGAAAGCCAGAGAGAGAAATTTCGTGAGAAAGAAAGAATGATGTGTGGAGCAGTGGAGAATGGAGGAAAGGAGAGGTAGACAACTACAAATCTACTATTCATTTTTGTTATTATATGCTAGAATTTTTTTGTTGTTGTTATAACACGGTTTTAATAAAAATTTACAAGTTGTGTCTATACGTCAATAAAAAGGTCACATGTCTAGGATTTTAAATGCCATGAAATGTTATGGGGTTCATACACGCTTGTAGGGATTAGATGCTATGAACACATGATTTGCAACCTTTATTGATATTGAATTTTGATTTTGAATCTTCCTTTAACAAAAATAGTGACAAATTTGTTTATATAGTAATTTGTTGTATTATTGACAAAGGCATCAACTACAAGTGCAATATTATGCCAAGTTGATGATGGTTGCGCCTCATATATAAACTGAATATGGAAGAAAAGATATGTACATGCAACCAACTCTAAGTGGAAAAAATTCCATGTGTACACACACTTGCGATTAAGATAAAGAAATATTCATATTAATGTTGTTCAAAATACCTTACAATAGAGATGTACATTTAAACATATAGTGGGATAATTTTCCCGCTTTGAGATCAAATGTTTGGAATTTACCGGATGAGGAAAAAGGAAGAATACTCTTTGTTACAGATCCATAAAGAAAATTCAGACGACCTAATGAAAAAAGAATACCATCAAAATGAGAGAAAATTGAAAGTACAAAATGTGAAAGAAGTGGGAAGGACGGTTACAATCGAAGATCATGTCAAAATTCAACAACTATGAAGAAGAACCCATAAAGCAAAGAAAGTTGGAAGGCATATGAAATTGAATTATTTGATATTTTTTATTTTAAAATTTTTTTGGTATTTTTCTTTTGCTACTACACATCATTTATACTTTTGAGATAAATATACTAGTAGGGTATGTAAGATTTAAAGATGGCTCCTTAGCCACGAATATGTGGCAAACAAAATCAGTTGGGCCTAAAGAATAGATACAAATGATTTTCTCAAACTCCACCTAGTCTGAAAATAGGCTGGCAACTAGTAATTGCCATAGTATATATATTTCGATCCTAATTTAGAGTAGACTTGTTAAGAATTGATACCAACTACCAGCTCAGCTCATCAGCTCAGCTCATCCCTTTCCACATTAGCATACCAAGTCACCAGCTCTCAGCCTTGTTGTCCTAACAGTTTGCCTTGCTGTTATGTTGGACCACCAATTTGTTATTTAAAGATTCCAACATGATCCTTGATTTTAGGAACAACCTAACAGCCGTGTTATTCTAGATCCTTCTTGTGTCAATAGCCATGTATTATATATACAATAATCTCTATTAATGAAAATACGGTTGCGATAGGAATATAAAATACACATTTTACATCTTTATTTAATGCGCTCATATGACTATTTTATGCCTAAATATACTTAGTATTCTCATATTTTGATTTAGGTGGTAATTCGATGGATATGGCGTAATTTGGAAGAAATGAGGGGAAAATGACCAAAAAGAAAGAAAGCAAAAGTTCGGGAACCAAAGTGAAAATATTCAAAAGTTGTATCGAACCTCACGATGAAGACTTGAGAGTGCTAGAGGCCAATTGGATGAAAAAAGAAGTCAAATGGATGAAATATAGCCAAAACATTATCACATATCAACTTTCAAGTTGAAAAGTT